CGTTCACTGACCCACATAAACTATGTCCAGGTTCTGTCAGTTACTGAAGATGGGAACAATAGAAGGAAGGAAAGGAAGTATGTGTAATAGAGAAGAGAAGTTTTCTTTGTCACTCTCTTAGTGAAAAGGAAAGTGTATGTTTCCATTTGGTGTTACTACTCCCTAATCCTACTACAAGTGTTTTGCAGTCATTCTCTATAGGGATTGAAGCCAACACCCTTTTCATCCAATCTAATGGATGTGTGCACTCATTTTCCCTCCACTATCCCCCTCCTTCTTTATGGGGCCAATAAATATAAAAAAAGATGGATATAAACATTTACAATTGATTTGCCAACGTTTTTGGGGGTTTTTTTTGGGGGGGGGGTTCAACATTTTAATTTTTTTTGTTTTTATATTTTTCATACTTCAAAATAATTTATTATTTTTATTGAAATATTTTTTAACATTTATAAACACTTTATTATTTATATTTTATAATAAAAAGATAAAAAGGGGTTAAAAATATATAGGCAGAAGTCTGGGTTTACTACATGTAAAACAGGAACATTATTAGTGTGTGGCTTTGGTCTTGGCCTTTGCATTCTCGGGCTCATTATGGTATTTTCACCGTTATTCTCCTGAATCATCTTTGCAGTTTCTTCGAAGATTCGCAAAGCCACTTTAAATTCACAATGGTTCTGTTTATAAATTAGGGAGGAGAAAGTGTTTTGCTGTCATCCCCTATGAGGAGTGGAACCAACACTCAGTTCTAAGTGGAAAGTTAGGAAAGGATGCTCCAGATGAGTCAAGAGTGGATTTTGAAGAGAATTTACAGATGCAAAACATTCTACTTTATCAGCAGATGTTAACATCTCAAATTGAGTGAAGAGAGGAGGAAAACTTACTCTTATTTAATACACTATTATAGTCGCCGAGAGCTAAATTTGTCATAGGCTATACAGTGCTTTATTATATCAGCAAAGACTTAGCTCACTTGAGGAATTGTTTACATTTATTAGATACATCCACAAATAGGCATCTGTTGTTACTGGAACTGTCATGTTGGTTGTTAGACTCTCCCACCTATAATAAGTAATAGTAGTAGTAGTAATAGTCGCTGAGTGAGTTGGTCAGTCAGTCAATGTCGGACAACCGTTAGTCTGGTATTAAAGTATCAGCCGCCACAACTAGATTGCTGCGTCATTAACTATTATATCAAGTTCCTAATGTTTTGTACATAGAACCTATTTTAAGGACCGACTTAGTGAAATACAAGCCTCCACTGTGAAACTACTCTATAACATTGGTATAGCCAGAAAAAGTGATTCCTGTAGGCTATAGTGGATGCAAAGTGCAAAGTTATGGTCTGTGTGAACCATGGAGATGATTTTGTTTTCACCTGGTATTTTCAAGAAGGTACAAAAGCATCGATGCTGGCTTTGACCAAAGAAAAAACCACATTGGCACAATTCTCAATAGAAAAGTTTAGAGCATCAATCCAAGGGGCGTCTCAAAGAAAGTCACAAAATGAATCCCAGTCAGCCTGCCATTACTGGAAGGAAGTCTTGTGAATAGGAGGTTCATGTCTAATAGATGACTGAAACGAAATATCAATAGATACTACAGCATGATCTAAATTACTAATAGAACAGTCATGAAGCTCAACAAGAGCTAAGAGAGGAGGTAGGAACAAATCAAATGTTGATCAGATTTATTAGGGAAGTGAGTAGGGAAATCCAGAATTCTCACAAGAGACTGATCAGAAAAATTGAAAGTTTGAATACCAGCAACGTCAGTAACATTAGAATGCTTAAACCACTCATGATGAGCAATAAAATCACCAAACACAAAAATGTCAGAGGTGAGTATAGACAGTGAGAGATCCTTCTTACTGTCAGAGATTTTGTCTCGTGTACTGCAGTCCTGAGAAATCAAAGAGCAGTAAAGAAAAAAAAATAGATAACTATCAGAGTGCAATAATGAGAGTAGAAAGCACATGAAAAAATAATCTGGGGATTCAAGATAAAATTCTCTTGCCATTGGCATGTATTGTAGAACCTTTTTGGCAAAGATAGCCTGGAACAGAGAATTCATTGGTAGCAATGGAAGAATTTAAATTGGTCTCACAAAGTGCAAAGTTATCTGGAGATTTTTTTCCAGAGAAAAGATTGTACTCTGTAGAAATTGGAATGGATTATTGGAGAAAGACTGGTTGAGGAGGGTAGGTGATTTCAATCTCATACCTGAAACTTCACCACCATCTCATTGTTTGTAATTTTATCTTATTTTATTTTTCCTATATTTTTTATCCATATTTTTTTTTTATATGCAATGTCTCTGCCTGAACTCTGTAATTTTATTTACTATTTATTTCTTTATTTCCTCATTAAAAGTAGATAGGGTTGCCTGTTGCCCAGTTCACACTCCTCTCTGGTCTTTTAAACAGGAGTACAGGTTTATCCCTTATTCTGGTTTCTTCTAAAGTATTTTCATTCTCTTTCACTACCAGTAGCACTTTGCATCTTAGTAGCATTATTGCTTTGTATAGGGTGAATTGATTAAAAAAAAAAAAAAACAAATTCAAAATAAAAGTGGATCTGCTGTCATAAAGTTTATGATGCTTTGTTCCTATTTTAATTATGTCTGTTTTTATATAAATAAATATCTACTGTAATTAGCATAACTTAATCTTTCTCACAGAGAAAACTTATAAAGATGCAAATTTTAAAAAAAAATGCATATTTTACTTTGCTAATCACTTAGTCAAAATAAAATCTGCTTCGTTCTATAAAAAAAAAATTTTAAATTAGTATAGGAAATTTTAGCATTTTTATTAAAACAAAAAAAAAACAAAAAAAAACATTGATTTGGAAGTTCTTGCAAAAATCAAATTGTCAGATTTTAATGAAATTTTCAGGATTTTTTCATAAATGAATAAAATTATTTATTTATTTAATATCTGTTACTCCTCCTCCTCCTCTTACTTAATTGTATGAAATTTCAAGAAATCAAAATTTCACTCCCCTCATATTTATATTAGTTAAAAGGACAACTCCTTTGAGAATTTAAATCATCAATATTTTTTTTTATAAAATAGAAACACCATTTACCAAAAATCTGCTCTGAATCATAAAATAAAAAATGCAATAAAACTAAGACATTATTTAAGTAGAACTGCTTTTAATTGCTTTTAAATTAAGGACACTATTGTCTTAAGAAAAAAAGAATTGTTTTCATTTTTTCTTTAATTTTAATTAGAATAATTTATTAAGCTTTAAATCTTCTTAAAATATTGTATTAATTTCGCCCTTTTAGATATTATTAAGTTAAAAACTATATTTACTAATCATAAATGGAAAAGCTTAGTACAAATCATCAAACACCAATATTTTTAAAAGAACATTTTTTTTTGTGTATGTATAAACATGCTGATTTTTGTAGGTATGTATGTTCATACACAACATTATCAGAAAATAAGTGTGATAATCATAGTAAATTTAAACCCAAAATATCTCAAGTTCAATAAAACATTAGTTTACAGAGAATATTTTCCTAAATTTTAAAGATTTTTTTTCTTACAGATAAAGACCCCCACCACCACCACCACCACATAGATCAGTATTAAATAAACCGCCATCTGTCATCAAGTTGTCAACACCTGAACAGCTTAAATAAACAGCTACCACCATCTTATCTTACTTATTATAAAACGCAGAGTGTGTGTGTGTGTGTGTGTGTGTGTGTGTGTCTGTACGTTTATATATTGGATCGGATTTCCTACATTTTTCAACCGATTTCAACAAAACTTCACAGGACTACGTAAAATTACCTTGCGGTGGTTCTGACAGTGCCAAAAATTGGAAAAACAATTGTTTTCGCACGAAATCAATTTGAAAATACGATAAAAGATTCTGTCGCCAGAATGAAAGGGGGACAACTCATATCGAGTTATACTTATTATAAAACCCAGGTTGTTTGTGTGTATTCATTTATGTATGGGATCGGATTTCCTACATTTTTCAAACGATTTCAACAAAACTTCACTTTTTTTTGGCAGGTAGTGTTTCTTATTGTCTTGCATACTTTTTTCTTTATTTTTACATTCAGAATGCTTTAAAAATTCCATTTACAAGACAATTGTTTATAATAAAATTCTATTCAATCGGTAGACTCATAACGATTGAAAACAATGTTTTTGTTTGAGTTTGGGTTTGACCAATTCGTAAAAAAAAAAAAAAAAAAAAAAATCTAATTAAGACATGCGTGTCCGTCAACCTTAAACAATAATCTTTGTCAATTTTATTTTTCAGTCTTTGATAGTCGATACTTGATCTATCTCTTACTGTTACATCCCCGGGCAACGCCGGGCTCTACTGCTAGTGTTAAATAAATGTTGAAAGAAAATAATATTTGTTTCAAATCAAATTAAGTTTACTTTAAATCAACTCATATTCCTCAGTTTTCAGAGAAATATATTTTATTTTTGGAAGATTTTTTTTAATAAAGAGAATTACATTTTAATGACAGGTGGCTAAAAATGGCACTAAAATATTTCAGTAATTTCAAAACAAAAACTCCTTTCCCATCAATTTAAATTAGTTTTAAAATACAGCATAGTATTTTGCTTATTGGAAATATTAAATTTGATCGCTCAGCTTGAAATTAAAACTAATATAAAAGCTTCAAGAAAGATTTTTCATTTTTAAAAATTCATTTTAATCCTTAGGTATCATGAATCTGTGGAAGTGCCTACAATAAGGCAATGTGAAATTTCATAAACTTATTGGTTATGTCAACCATAAAGACAAACTAATTTAGAGTTACTGATTTACATGATTTTATTTTTTATTTTTTTTTTTTACCCACAAATAACATAATAAATTAAGTATTAAAAAATATAGGGAAATAGAGAAAGTATATTAATTTTCAGTTAGGCAACAAGGAAGTATTACACACAAACATATATTAGATAGTTAAATTTCACCTAATTTTTGTTCCTTTTTCTTTTCTTTTTTCAGAATGAACTTTTTCTGCTTGTAACAGATCAAGGCTTTCTAAATGAGTGCAACGTGGTGTGGGAGACATTGTCAAGTGTTGAAGGTGACTGCTACTTTGTGGATGCAGAATTCAATACTTACACCAAACCTGATCCAGTTTCAGGTAATTCTGTTGTCACGCCTCCTGTTGTTCCAATTGGTTCGGACCAGCAGATCGACCAAGAGTGAGTACATTCTTCACTGATCAGACATCAACCTCCAGAGCCACTTTGGACATATTAACATAAGTAATTGTCTTGAATTTGTTAGGCAACTCTCCTCATCCTTTTTTTTTTTTTTATAAATTCTTATTTTAAAATTATTTGCACTTGTTTAAAATCAGTTTGAACAAATATATTTGAGAGGATTTGAGTTGAATGGGCAGTTAACACCATTAATTATATTTGAATTCATTCTTATCTTAAGAAATATTAATAATGTAAAATTCTGAATGTCCTGAAAGATATGAATCAACACATCAAGTTAACTTTTATATTCTTTGTTTATTTCATGTTAAATGTTGTTTTTTTTTTTTTTTTTTTGGATCAGCTGGGTTGCTTCAACAAAATTTCTGAATCTGTTTCTTCAAATTTTACAAATGAATTTTCATGTACTATCAAGAGAAAAATATTAAAATTGGTCTTTTTTTTTCTTTTTATAAATATTCACTCTCTTCTATTTCAGCCTTTTCTGTTTTTTATGAGTTTGTTTTAGAAAAAATATTTCTGTTTTTACATATTTTTGGGATCTGTATACAAATTTCTATAATTTTTTTTTTTTTTTTTTTTTTTTTTAATCTCTATCAAGGTAAATTCTTTAAAGTCTTCATAATGATTTTGATACTGATTATGAAAATACTTCTAAGAATACTTCCTTTTCACAATTTTGCCCTTAGGTAGATACAACTAACTAGAGAATTTAAAAAACAAAAAAATCTATACAGATATCAAAACTACCAAAAACTAATGCTGAAAATTTTAGGCCCCCAAATTTTTATGGTAAGATATCTTTCTGTGCATCAACATGAAGAATATTTTTATCCTTATCTTTATAGTTATCTGGTAGCATTGTCTCTAGAGCGAGAGCAGCAATTACAACGAGAGGCATGGGCTAGTCATGCAGGTGGTGCTGGAATTGGAGGTGTTGGCATGGGTTCTGGAGCTGCTGTACCTGACCCACTGAGGGGACACCATGTACAATTGAGCGAGTGAGTACTCTACATCCACAGATAACTGTTTTGCAAATTGTAATTGAGAATTTATTTCCAAAAAATTGAAAGTAAATGACAAGATAATACTTTCAGTAGAGCAAATAATTTATTTCAGTTTATTTAAAGAAATGATGAGTTCATTAATGGTGAGTTAAAATAAATTTTAATGGCAAAAGCACATGTTTGTTTAAAAGTGGTATATGCATTTCTTTAAAAAGATAGAACTGAATGACTGTTTATTCTCACACCTTTCTGTTGACATCCCCACCTCCACTTCTTTTCTTTTATCAAGTAGTCAGCCATTTGTTGGGATGTAGTCACCCAAGTGACACTGTTTGTTTTCTGCCTTAACATATCTTTAATCACTGTCGCATCCATTTGCAACCTCTTTGACATTTTTAGAAAAATATAATACCTCTATGAGACTCTTACTGTCTATGATTCAGTGTATTTTAAACTCTGGCAGGAAAGTTGATACTTCCTTTATTAAATGGGCAATGTTAATCGACAACTTCAGCAGTCAAAAAGTGCCATACTCTCTGCAGACAACGTTGACTTAACTACCCTTCTTATTTTTCTTGATTGCCAATAAATAAAACAATTTTTTAGAGCCCCTCAAAAAAAATTTTTTTTAAATCCTCTTGAGAGCTTCCATCAAACAGGAAAGATTGCATTAAAAAAGCACTCAAGGGAACAAGATATTGTGTTACATTATTGTTTTTTGTAAAAAGAAAAAAATTAAAGTTGTCATGGCTTATTCCATTGATTTGTTTAATTTCACTTCATCCACAGTAGCTCCTGTTATAGAATACATTTAAATTACAGCAGTCAAAAGCAGTATCAGGTTTGGTATTTATAGTTAATTGAGTTAGCTAATTAACAACCGGTATCATTTCTTCTGATAATTAACTCATATTTCTGAATGGCTCCTTAATGACTAATAACAATAGATTATAAGGATGATGCAAATTTGAGTTGATCCAACATTGAATTATCATTTGTCAAAATGATGTTAGTTAAACCTTGCTTCTTGGGGTTTTTGGTTTGTTTTTTTTAGTTCACCCAGTACAGGGCTCAAGAGCCACTCAAGGTAGAAGGTTGCTGTTAACATATTTTTGGTGAATGAGCAGATGCAAATGTGGTAGGAAGTGAAGACTATGAGGATGAGGACAACAGATAACAATTGACTCTTGATGCGAAGAGGTTAAGTTTGTAATGTTAGGGAAGCATCAATACAGGTGTCTATTTCACAAAGTAGCTGTTCTGGTGGAAAAGCTGCCTGACTGGAACTTTATCCTTACATTTAGGGTATGGAGGAAAAGTGGGTGATTCAACTCTGTGGAAGTCAAATGGTATGTCTTAGCAGTAAAGTTCTGAACTAGTAGAACTAAAGACTGGAGCTCAATTGAACATTTGCTGTAGAAATAATGCTGGTGTAGGAAAACAGCTGCAGAGTGGAGAATAAGTCTTTGTCCACAAGACTGCATAAACAATTTTGAATTCAGTCATGGCTGGAAAGTGAGGATTGAGCAGCTTCAGTGTGGATATTAGAGCAATATTTCATTTTTTGTCTAATCTGACTATTGTGAAAATAAAACAAGGCAGAAGGAGTTAGGCACTTTTAACTGAGATAGAACCAACCATTTGTCCAGCATCTTTTAACAATGGACTTTATATATAAGTTCCACTTCAGTTCTGGAGTGAACTTGAGACCCAACAGACATTCAAAGCATGGAGCTTCATTGAGAGTTCAATCATTTGTCATTGCTGGAGAAAAATATGAGTTTGGTTTTTGTGTTAAAGATTATGTAAACAACACTTTTTAGAAAGAATATTAACTGCAAAAAGACAAAAAGTTAGCAAGAGAAAAACCCTGAGATGCAAGATACAAATTGGAGATATAAACATCGAGCAATGCAGAAGTTTAAATATCTGGGAAATGTTTTAATAGTGAATGGGAAATGCAACATCAAGATCTGAACACACATTGAACTATTAAAATATGCATTCCAAAAGCTAAACAAACTTTTGTTAATAATCCAGCATTCTTTTCTTTATTTTTACGTGGCATCCATATTATATGTTGTCCTGGATAAGACGATAAACTACATCCAACAGCAAGGCCTCTGATTAGGAAGTTTTGAGGAAGCATGGAACCACCTCTTAATTGCTGGTGTTCCCAGGTCCACCCTGACCCGGGTGGGCAAATAGTGAACTCCCAGTTTTTCCCATCATCTAACCACGTCATGGTGATAAACTACGTCCAAAAATAATGTTGCCAGCTATACGTTTACTAGTACTATATATTTAATGTGTGTGTGTGTGTGTATATATATATATATATATATATATATATATATATATATATTTATATATATAAACTAAATTTGGCATTAAATGACCTACAGTGGTTGATATGCCATAAAAATCAACCAACCATATTATATGACAATGAATGTTGCACAATTACCCCAAGGATGAGGAAAAAACTAGAATCAACAGAAATGTGGTTCTACAGAAGGATGCTGAAAATGGATTAAACGATTAAGCGACAAGGAAGTTTTTTAAAAAAATGAACACTTACTACATATAATTGTGTATAAGCCAACTTTGTGTATAATGCAACCCTTGAATTTTTTTGCATAAATTTTACCCTTCCAGAAAAAAATTTAGCAGTATATAGTACAACTGGTCACCAAAAATGCATGATTTTTAACCTCTTCAAAAAACTGTGTATAGAGTGACCCCCACCCCTTATTTTTTGCATAAAAAAACTGATTATAAAAATTTGCACTATACTTGAGTATATACAGTATGCTCAAAATAAGGAAATGACAGCTGAAATCCCTTGGACACAAATGAAGGAGAGGGCTTGAAAAAATTAACCCACCCAGGGCATATTGAGGGCAAGACAGTGTTCCATTTACCTGATGAGCTTGTGTGAATGGATGGTGGTATAGCAAAGGGAGAAAAACTGCTAAAAGCCACACTAGATAGGTGACCCTGGCTCCCCACAACTTTCTATGTACTAAAGGGACACAGCACATAGATGAAAAATTAACAAATGGTTCAGAGTTTATAGTGACATAGTTTTACCATGTAAGAGGGTAGTATTTACCTGTCTGATTACTCAAATGAAATGTGACACAAGATAATGTTTAAAGTTGGAATTCCATACATACATGGGTTTAGTATAAAAAAAAAAAACTTTCCCTTTCCACAGTTCTTCCCTTTTTGGGACATCTTAGGCATCAGTGATTGACCCTAACCATCCCATCTTAGTCTTTTGAAATTATATAAGGACAGATTGCAAAAGAAACCCTCCACATATTGTACTGAGACAGTAAGATCCAGCTGATTTTTGTTTTGGAGAAAGTCCATTTGTAGAGAAATGAAAAAGCTTTTTTTCAATTGAAATGTTCTGTCATACAATTTCAACAATATAGATATGTAGAAAATGTTTGTAGTGGGGCCAATCAGGCAGAGTACAATAAAGCCTATATTTTCAATCTTAATGATACCATTTTTGCAACACAAATGTTATACTGTAAAATGGTACATTTTCTCTTTGCTAAATATGGTATTGTTTTGGTTTTGTATGCACTGCTTGTCTACCATGAACAAAGTTATAGTTTATGAAACTGTTTCTGTTTCTTTCCCAATTACCATCTAAAGATGACTGCTGTTTCCCTTGATGAATTGATTTATTCTCCATCTCTCGCCATCATACAGATTGGATTAATTTTAATACTGTTCAACAGAAATCAATAGAGACTTCTATAGACTTTTTTTTTATCCTTTATTCTACTCAAATGGAATCTTGACTTTATTTGTTTTTTTAAGCTTGAATTTTTTGAGGTTTTCGGGCCATTTTCCATCACACCTTCATCACTGATTGATGGTTTTAACTAATCTATCTTCTTTATTTCAAATTGAAATCTTCATTTCAAACTTTTTCAACTTAAATATCAATGTTTTTACATTAAAATTTCTTCTTTTTAATCCCTGAATGCAGAATCTGTTACAACTTTAACTTCATTATGAAATACAAATCATAAAGGGTCAGACATATCTACATTTACTTGTAGTTCTAGTTTCCTTTTTGTCTAGTCATTGGTTTTCTTGAGCTACATACTTTTTGGATCTATGTCTGAACCAAGTAAGTGGATAAATGTTGGCTTTAGAATTCATCCTATTGTAGCCAGATACTCACTTCAGGCTCTCTGACTCTTTTTCTGGTTGATATCAAAAGAAATAAGCCTCAACACTGGTGTTGTGACTGTATCTGTCTGAAATGTGATGGAGAACCAACAAAGACTTGATAGTATTGCAAAGTACTACTTCGATGTGCTAGCTTAGTGGTAATGATATCATGTTTCCCAAACAGTACCTGAACCCAGAGTCATCAAGGGCTTTGTTTGACCTACTACAAATACTACTACTACTTATATTTGTTACATTACAGGCGGGTTTAATATCAACAAGAGAAATAACTTTTTGTGGAAGGTCATGTAGATAGATATTCTAAAAAGGGAAATAACTTAAAAATGTTTTCTGTAACAGGACTAACAACTGAAATGAAGGCAGAATTTATCCAATGTTATTTCAATTTCTGAATATTTTTAATGCTAAAATATATTTTTATTCCCTTCATTTCACAATTGTTAGTTTCCAGATCACAGAAAGCGACTTTGAGTTATTTCCTCTTTAGATTGTGATATTTTCTAAGCAACCTTCTACACCTGGGTATTTATGTACAAACTATCTTATCGCACTCTGCACTTTAAACATTGAAACATGATATTTTTGAAAAATAATAGTTAACTAGTGTTTGGTTGTAATACTAGATATGAAAATTGAAAAATTATCTACATTTACATTTCCTCATGGTAAACTAAAGGTCCTATAAAAAATGGCTGAAGCTTGTTAATCATGTTGGCTGGGTTCCTATGAAGCATTGTTCTCTGCATAAAATGTTTTGAGGAGAGATTGATTTTGAAAGAACAAAATAACTCTACATCCTGTACCAAGTATTCATAAAAACAAGAAGTCTCTTTTACTGACTGACTACAATGATATTAAGTAAATATAGAACCAGATCAATTATAACATTTTATTTTTGTTGATATCATTAAGAACATTAATAAATTGGAAGAAATGAAGCATTGTCCTGCTGATATTCAGTTCAAATGAATGGAAGATTACATATACATTTATAGAAGAATCTCTGATTATGAGACAAATTTTCTTTCTATCAGTAAAGGAATGTATTCACATTAGAGTTGGTCAGTTTGGCAATTTATGTTTCAGTATCGGTTTCAGTTTGTTTTTTTTTTTCCTTGATACTGTGGTTTTCGATTTGGTTTTTAATTTAGTATTTTTACTTTCTAAGGAAGCCATTCATTTTTTTGTGTAATGATAGCATTTTCAGTCGATATCTGCTTTCATTTGAGATTGATAAATTTGCAACTTAGTCCGTTCAACTCACAAATTTTTGTATATTTCTGGTCCAATCTTAAAAATATTCATATGGCTGGAAAGAAAATAATCTTTCTAAATATGTAATTTGTATGTGCTTTTATTCATTGAATTTTTTTTTTTACAGTGAGTTAAAACTTTAATTTGCTTTGAACAGCCAAAAATACAAAATGATTTTTTTTTTTTTTTTTTTTTAATTTGCAAAATCAGTGACCAATCTTTATCAGTATTCTTAAAATTGTACACTCAATTAGAAGACTTAAACTACAATGAGGAAGATGTTCATTTCTTCTCTGACCCCAGCAAAAAAGATTAACTGATAGTATGTGTGATAAAAGAGCTTTCAAAATATTGAAACTACTGTCTTGTCGCATAAAATAAATGCCCCATATACTTTGACTTTAGAGGTTTGTTTTTTTAAACGTCTGCCACTGTGGAAGTCTGTTAACTGGTACATAAGGGGTCAATATTTGGTTTTAAGCAAGGGTAATAAAAATTTATAGGCATGCATTAAAAGACCACTGGAATTGAAAAGTAGGGATTGTTCACCTAGTCAGTTTTTAGACTTTAAAGGTAATTTAGTCATAGAATTGATGACAGATTAAAGTTTATTAAAATTTCGAACAAATTGTCAAATATAAATAACTACCATATTTATTTATTAACAAATTGGTAAAATACGAAAGAAATCATCACATAAAATATTTATGTCTTTCGAAAACACATTTTTGAGAGAGAAAATGGTATAGCTCTCCAGAAATTAGTTTATAATGTGGCTTTTAAAAAGCCAAAAAAATGAAACCCCTCATGTTTAAAATAATTCAAAATATGGCAATTCTTTTCTGGTAGGCCAGTCAACTGTTATTGGTGAAAATAAACCAGGAAAATCAACAGGTTATTTTTTCCCCCCACTAAATAAATTTGTTCTTATCTAGCAAATACACCTAAAATTAAATATTAAAAATAATTAAAGCTTTGAATTTCATTTTTTGAATGTTTATATTTCCCAATCTGCGAGTATCACCTATTCTTTTTTTTTTCTCTTTTAAAACTGACTGAAATTAAAAACTATTTTAATCATTTTAGTAAATTTGCTTCTTAACGCCCGCACTAAATATCTCTTCAAATTTTCCAAAATCGTCATAATTCCATATAAATGTACATGCTGAACTAAAATTAACAATTAAATTATGGAAAAAAAACCTACCGTTTTGGAGTTATCAACAAGAAAAAAATTGGACTTCTTGTTGGTCATTCGTCCACCATTACTGCCATACTGTTTAGTAATTTACTGCAGGATACAAACAGCAGTGAAAATACAAATTTTGGCCAATTTACTTCTTTTACAGACTTTCAGTGCAAAAAATCATGACACACTAGTGTAAAGCAATGACAAATTAAAAGAACAAATTAAATAATACAATAAGGCTTTTTTTTTAAAATTGAAAGCGGAGAAATTGAAAAAAAAAACATTAAATAATACAATAAACCCTTATTTCGTTTCTAGCATTTTTTTTTTTTTTTTTTTTATGTTTATGGGTTAAGTTTAAGGTTAGGGGTTGTGTTTGGCTTTTTTCTGTGTAGAAAAGGGGACAAATTAAAAAAAAAAAAAAAAAATACATAATACAACCAACCCTTACTTTGTTTCTACTTTACTAAGTTTAAAATATAAAAAATGCTTCATTGTATTATTTAATTTGTCATTGCTATTCTACACAGAAAAAAATAGTTTCATTATATTATTGGATTTGTTTACAGTTTTGTTATAAATAAAACTACATTTATAAAAAAAATATTGCTTTACAATAGTGCATAGTGATTTTTTGCACCGAAAGTCTGTAAAAGTAAATTGGCCAAAATTTGTGCTTTCGCCGCTGAATGTATCCCCGCAGTAATGGTGATCAAATGACCAACAAGAAGTCCGATTTTTTTCTTGTCAATATCTCCAAAACAGTAGGTTTTTCATAATTTAATTGTTAATTCTACTTCAGCATGTACATTTATACGGAATTATGACAAGCAAATTTACCATCATTTTAATATAATCTTTAAGTGTATTTGCCAGATAAAACAATAAAGATATTTGTAAAAGTAAAATTAATTTTTCTTGTTTAGAAGAATTTTATAGGCAGAACACCCACTGAACACCAGTGGCTAAAAAAGAATAATTTTAAAACAGATTAAAATTTACTTTCTTTTTTTAATATATGATTTTAAGTGTATTCACTAGATAGAAACATAATTTTATTTGTAGAAAACAAACAATTTTACACTGCAGACAAGCATATCTGGAAATATACACATTTTAAAAGTGAAATTAAGAACTATTTTAATTATTCTTAATACCTAATTTAGGTGCATCCCTAAATAAAAAACAAATTTATTTATTTAAAAAAAAAAAAAAAAAAATCTTCATTCATTTTTCTTATTTACTTTATTTCATGATTGGCATACACACTGGCTCACTAGAAAACAATTATGTATGACTCTTGCAAAAAAAAAAAAATCCAACTTCACAAAATTTAACTTTAAGATGAAACTGGCAACTATTTTTTTTTTTTTTTTTTGTTGAAACTGAAATAAATAGATTTCAGATATCAGGTTGTATTTCCTTTTTTTTTCTCTTCTTCCTTTCTTTTGTAAACAAATAGATTTCACATTTGTTTCCTAAAACTAGTCAATGTTTTTAACATATTTTTGTCTAATCTTTTTCTCTTACAATGGTATAAATGTTGATAAAATTTTATTAACACCTGAAAGTCTTTTTCAATAGTTTTTCTTTCTTTGAATATGGTCACTCAGTAGTGATATCACTAAACAAACCGAACGATTTCAGTTTCATAGTGTGAAGATGAAACTAAAAAAATCAGTTTTTCTCTTGACACAACTATTGCTGTATACTCTCTTGGCAAATTTTGTTTTAAAGAGCTATTTTTAGAATTTTAATAAAACCCAGACATATGAACCTGGATTATACATTCTCTTTTCTTATTTTCACTAGAATTGACAAACAGAAGAATTAAGTACTATTTAATTAGATTCTTTATTTACAAGAAAAATGAAGCATTAGCAAAATATGTTAGATTTATAAACATTTCCTATTTGTTCCTTATCCTATTATTTACAAGTTTATAAAAAATACAAAGCAACATTTATTATTTACTATATTATAAAGAAATAACTATGAAAACAAACTTTTGTTATTTATAAAAATGTCAGAAATTATAAATTTTGAAAAAATGCATTTTCTGGGTTCTTATTTGATCTCACCAGAGAAATTCACTAACATTAGGCAAGAGCATCTGAATTTTTTCTTTTTCTCAAGAATTGATAAAAATGTTAAACACTATTTATTAGAATGTTTAAAATACAAGAATTGTATTTAATATTTTTGTTTTTAATTTTCAAGAAAAGAAAATGAATAAATTTATTTTCATGTTTGAATTTTATTATAATTCTAAAAATAGCTTTTTAAAAGAAAAAGAAGTGTCGAGAGGCAAAAAAAAAGTCCTTTTGAAACTTTTTTCTTTATTAAATATCTCATCATGATGTAGCTCAGTTTTTTTTTTTTTTTTTTTTTGAGAAAAAAAAAAAAAAAACTGAATGTATTTGTTTTTTTTCATTAGCCTTGAATTAGCCAAGAAATTGCAAGATGAAGAAAACCAACGTGCAGGGGCTGCTGCTGCTGCTACAAATGCTGCTTCCAATCGCAGAACCCCGAGAGCTGCAGATGCATGCACATCTACAGGAGCAAGACGCACACGTGATAGAGAAAGAGATAAAGATGGTGTAAGTTACTTTCAGTCACACTTAAATCAGAAAAAGAATGCTTTACAGAATTAAAATCAACATTGTTTGAAAATCTCTGCAGTAATCAATTTTAATGGTCTTTTCTGATAGAAACTGATTTTCTAGAAACACTAGAGCTGAAAATATTAAAACATTTTTAAAAGTGAAATCAACGAGATTACCAAAAGGTTAAAAGTGAAATATTTTACACATGCATGCACACACACACACATAGTACCACATTTTCTGATACCAAAGCCAATGCATTTTTTTCTTTTTTATATCTAAATTTAACCCTATGTCTTCAGGATCAAATATTACTATGTTAAAAGCCTGATGTAATTATACTCTGGTCATCTTCAGGTGTCCATATAGGATATCATGTTATTTGTGCTATTTTTGTCCCTGTGATGTCATTTATTCTTGCTGAACCAGAGCATATTATTTCTGATCCAGAGATTGAACTCACAATCAGCAACACTTTAAATCAAGATAATAATAAATTGAAGACATCAAATAAATTATGAGTAACTTCATTTTTGTTAGTTTATATTGTAAAATTGATTTCACCTTAATTGTATTTTAAAATGCTTTCCAAGCAGAAATTAAAATGGCTCGTTTTTATTTAAACTTCAATGATGATAATCATTATATAACATTAAGTAATGAATGTTAAATTTTAAATCAAAGTATGATCTAAATGACATTTTGCTTGGGTTATTATGAGAGATTTTGACAGCATAATGGTCTGTCTGGATTTCAGTGTAGCTATAACGAGTACAATTGAAAGGAGACTTTCAGGACATTAAAGTAAATCGGTTCGCTCCCTTTATAAATCATAATTACAGTATTCTGAGCATTGCATATGAAATGTGCAGATTGTGAACTGACCAAAAAAAAAAAAAAAATTATTACAAATATTGGGACTGAGATATTCAAGTTCTTCTAAATTCACCTGGTGAAAAAAAAATACTTATGCTTTCATTTGTTGATCTGCAATAAATATTTTTACTTCTTTTTTACATTCTACACACATGCAAATGTGTAAGTTTTAAAACATGCATAGTCTCAAGATTGCTTCTGGTTTGTAATGACAGGTACTTATAGATTCATGTCAATTTGGGTATAAAATTACAAGGGAAAAGTCCAAAAAGCCTTTTCTCTAAACATCATCTGATCAGGTTTTGGGAAGTAGTAAACTTTTCAGTATCCCCTCAAACAAATATTGAATGGGTAAATATTATCTTTGGGCTACCAATTATTAGTGTGTGAGAATGTTAATATACATGTATTATATAAGTAAATGATAAAATATCATATTTCAAACAAATAGTAGGCAAATAAATATGGTTGATGAAGAGTTCTCAGCCTAACCAAAAATTCTTTTAAAAAACTCGTCTGTTTGGTTAGACAATGGACACTTTTCATCACACTCATACATGACAGATTTAATCATTTAAGCAAGTCAAGAATATTTTATGAAAATTTACATTTGTTAGACGCTATATTTATTAACATTAAAAAGAAAAATAATAAACATGGGGATGTTCTTCAGTTAAAACTGTTATAAAGAATATGACTAACTGTGTAAAACTAATTAATTTATAAATAACCGATTAACATAAAATAAACATATATTAATAAGCTTTCTAAGCTATATTTATACATGTATCTTACCCTTTGGGAGATTGTATCCACCACACATAACTAGACCACCCATTGAGTTTCTTTTAAAAGCAGTTCATGATATAAAATGAGGTAACAATATTATCAGTTTTATTATTGCATGAAAATTTGGAGTAGTTCAAAATAAAAATCATATTTTTTATTAATTATGAGTTAATATGTAAAAAAAAAACAAAAAAACTTTGAGTTAAAAGCACAAAAAACTTTAATGCAAATATATCTATTGCTATCAGAAAATTTACTTCTCTACATTAAAAAAGAAACTTCAATAAAATGTACTTTGAATACAAAATTAATACTAAAGAGGGTAAAAAAAGGGTTTATTGTTCCACTGGGATTCATAATTAACATATTGTGTGAAAATCTGAAGTAATAACTTAATATAGGTGTAGTCTTTTTCAAAATATGGCAACAAATCAGCATGCATTTATAAGGTTATACACGTGGATTGATATAAGAACGTGTATCCAAAACGAATACTGAATTTCCTATTAAAAATGCCATAAAAGAGAGTCTTGAAATTTGGCACTGCATTCAGCAGAGTTTTAAGGTACAATATGCTCTTAAATTGGTTGGAGTATTATGTATCATTTAAACTGTATCTCAGTAACACACATACCAACAAGAGTTTTAGTATTATATACACATATTTGTTGAGGAAATGCTAGAATATGCCAATAAAATTTAATGTTTTATTTTCTGACAATGTCATAATTCTTTTTAAAATATTGGGGGTCCATTTCTTCTATTTATAATTATTAAATAATGATACCACCTGACTGCTACAAATTAATACAGAATTTTACTTAGAAAAATCTATAAAGTTTAAAAAAAAAAAAAAAAAAAATTTTTGCAAGAATCATCAAAAACTTTTTATGACAAGTGTCCATAATATATCTTATTCATAAAAGCAATAAGTCTTGCATTCTTTATGATTCAGAACAGGTTTTTTTAATTGTTCTGTTTGGTCAATAAAAAAAATTGATGATTTCAATTCTCCTAGGACGTGTCCTCATAAAACATTAAGTGCTCCAGAAAAGAATTTCTCAAAATTTCATAAAATAAGTGGTGTAACAAATGTCAAAAAAAACTTTTTAACTAAGATTTTCTAAAAAAAAAAGGCTTCAAAAATAATTTCCTTCATTTGTGAATAAGTTCTGAAAGTTTCATTAAAATCCAACAATTATTCGAATTTTGCAAGAATTTCAAAATCAATGTTTTTCACAATAAAGCTGCTCAAATGTTCTATACTAATTTATGGTCCTTCATTGACACCAGAGAAACAAGATTTTAAGCCAAGTTTCAAAAAGATTCTAAAAAGGATATTTTTTTTTTTTCCCTTCAAAAATCAAAATGTGCTTTTGTCTTTTCTTTTACTAACAAAGATTTTGACAAATCTTTGGAGGTGCCTAATATAAAGAAACATTTTCTTCAGAGTGTGAAAATCTGGTCTGAATTAACAACCTTTCCTCCCTCTATTTTTATTTCTGTGTCCTTATTTTGCTTGAAGATTTTTTTATTTTTGTCTTTTCAGTGTTTCATCTTGTAAGAAGGCTGACTCTTTCACTACAACCCCAGAAATCAACATTCTGCAATACCCATCCCACAGTTCTACTGTCTTAAACTGCAGTCAGTTCTGTTATTGGTGTGTGCATACAAGCAAAAAAATAAAAATCTGTAGGGAAGGGGAATGGTCTGTCACAGAAGAGGATATGCGCACAAAGAGGAGAGGCTATATAAGCTGAGCTCATCTCGATGTTAAAATTTGAATCTGTCCCAGTACCCCTATCTCTATTTTCATTAGTAACAATCTTGGAATTTTTTTTTTTTTTTTTTAATTTATTTTCCTCTATTAACAAGTGCTTTGTGAGCATAAAAGGTTGGGGAGAAGTGATATGCATTTTGAAGTGAAGAAAGATTTTGTCTATACCTAATATTAAAATTTACCAGGTTATTGTTTAGCATCACACTAACTTGGCACCCACTTCCAAATCCCCTCAATCTCTTTGTTTAAAAAAAAAAAAAAAACACACATCATCATCATCACATAGCTGCAGGAGGAGAATGAGTTGAAAAGCCGTTTGTATCAGCTAAGCATTAGTTTAGTTGAATATGTATGCTTTTCAAGTGCCTGAGAATTTTTTTTTTTTTTTTAGTGAAGCTTAACATTAGATTCTTAATGCCTTGTCACAGTTACAAGAAAAGCTCCAAATAATTAAATAACCTTGTAAATATGATTATTAGTATAAAAAAAAAAAATTGCTAACAAACTTATTCATCAACCTGCTGAGAATAATTTGCTTTTTGTTTAAATTTCTTTACAATTTTGGTGTGCTGATTACTGATTTTCAGTCAATTCAGTATTTCACTTTGACTTACCCCTCCAGGCACACTTACCTCTCCTTGATGGTAATGATTTTCTACTAAAAACAATTTGTGAAATTTTTCTCATTCACTTAATGGTTTCTGTATGTATGTATCTGTGTGAAAGGATGTTGTGTGCATGTGCACCATTATAAAAAGGTGTGTGTCTTTTCACAGGACTATATATTGTCCAACATAAGTGGGAGTCATTCTCTAATAGTGGCAGCCATCTTATATGTAATATTTCTTTAAAAAGTCAACCTTACCTACCTGCATCACTTTTTTTAACTACTGCCTAATTGTTACTACTGAGTTTGTGTTTTTTTTTTTTTTTTTTTTAATTCTAAGTAAAATAAATTTTTAAGAGATTGCTAAAACAAATTATAAAGAAAGAATTCAAATTTTATTTTTTTGCTCAAAGAAAAAGGGGTGAAATGTTTCTATTTTTAGGAAATCAATTGAAATTTCTTATTCACAAGAAGTTTGAGGATTCTTGGCACCATTTCTTTTGTAATCACAAAATATGTCAACCCCCACCCACCTAAATTGTTCACCTAACTTAGTATGATTTTTTTTTTTTTTTTTTTTTTTTGTAAACTTCCCCTTCCCTTAAAATTCATACCAACTGTCTCCAGAATGAATGCCAACCTTGTTCTACATTTGTTAAAGTCATATGCACTGACAGGTCTAACTTAACAGCTGAGCATTGGATAGAAAGACATACTTGTCAAAGATTCCAATGCAAAGCATTTTAGGATGGTTTACTGGACATTTAACAAATCAAAAAAAGTTTTAGCTCTTATTCAATGTTTTCATTAGCAAACTGTTTATAACTAACCAGCATTTTTTGTTGTACCTATAAGTAAATAACCACATACAAATCTCTCCATGTAATTGGTCATAAATGAGAATTGAATTCTCTAATACATTGCTTGTTGGTTGACCATGAGTAGGTAGGGTGGAGTATACAATGGGATGATTGTAGTGAAAAGTGAACTCAAATTATGTACGTATCTGTTTATAGTAGATCCACAATTGTATATGAATATCGTATGTTGGATACAGGTAACAGAAATGGCAGACCTGTGTATATGTGGAATTTCTGAAACTTGACTATAAACAAGATATGATACAGTCCACTTTGGATTCATGTGATTAAAAATAAATAAAAAAAATTCCCTCACCTTGACCACATTCAGCAGATGGGATCTGAGTGACCTGAAATTGTACATATGCATGTGTGAGAACACCTGAATAATCTTATCCATCTCAGGTTCCTTGCTGTGTTATTTAGTTTTCTCTGGCAAATTTTTCTTGTAAGTATAATTGGACTGAAGAGAATAAATTTGATTTTTCTATTGCATCTTACAATTTACCCAATTTGCACTTGTTTTCATGTGATCTTGATTCAATTCATAAAACTTTGAAAAATTGTAGTCAAAGTCTAGCATTTTTTTTAAATTGATGTACCAACTCATTAAACCATTACTTTTTTTTTTTTTTTTCTTAAACTTTTACTGAGTGAGATTGTAAGGGAGGAATCAGTTGACCCTATTGTTAGGGAAACATTCTTTTTACATTTTGTCCCATAAAGTAGGTTCTGGGAAAAGAATCTGTATGAGTGAATGTTGTCAAAATGGATAGCATGGTGGCTCCTAGCCTAGCTGTGAAGGTGGTGGAACTAAGAAGTGTAACTTGTCTGAACATCTGCCATAGCAATAGAGTAATGAAAGGCTGGCAATATTTCATTTCTTTCGTTGGATAAGGGATTCAAGGTGGAGAACAATTCATCGCTGACAAGGCCACATAAGTGCACTTTTGAAGTGTTGAAGCTAGACATTACCAGCCCAGAATACTCCATGCTCGATGTTTGTGTAAAGAGAGCGTATGACAGCAGGAGTTGGGTATTTTCTGGAGCAATACAATGAACCGACCATTCTTCCAGCATCCTTTGCATTCCAGGCAAGGAGTCTCTTTGAAGGTATGATCACTCATCAGGATTGGTGCAGGTTTAGGATCTGCTCAGTGGTGATAAAATTTTACCAGCTTAGTTGTGTATGTTATTTAATGATATCAGCCAATCTCTTCATCACTGAATTGTGAGAGTTAGAGCAGCAGAGAGAATAAGCTGCCAGGCATTTGTCATCAAAATATTTGGAGGTGCATCTAGACACTGGTATCATCTGCATATATATATATATATATATACATATATACACACCAAGGATCTGAGAGTGTCCTTAGGCAGATCATTAAAGAGGGTAAGATCAAGGTGAGCCTTGAGAGATACCAGCATTGATCTCAGATGACTGGCTATTGATAGACCTACTGGAGAGGACTATCTATAGCTGGTCAGTTTGTTTATGTAGCAATCCCCCTGTGACACATCTTAACAGTTGATCAGGAGTTTGTTTATTAAGGAGAGGGATATTGCAACAGTGGGGTGGGGATGAAAAGCTCACCTGCATTTTTGAACATGAAACACACTAGACCATGTGCTTGGAAAAACATTTCTTTTTTGGGGTGGATGGCTTTAAAGATTTACATTTTTTTTTTTTTTTTTTTTAACTTCAATGAAATCAATATTGCATAGGTTTGATTTCACTTTAAACTTAATGTGTTGCCACAGTAAAAGGCCTTATTTGTCTGTGCTTACTAAATGCTAATGGATTAAAGATATGGTTTACTACATTATAATATCATGATTAAAAAAAAAAGTCAAAATTTTGATCAAGTACAAAATATCACTACCAGATCATTACTTTCGATACTGAAAAAGAAAAAAAAAAAAAGTACAAACCCTGCTACTGCTCATTTATTTTTCTTTTGAGCTTATTTAAAGTGAAATCAATATATGCATTTATTTGAATATAATAGTTACTTTCAACCTGCAGTGACAAATAAAAACAAAAAAAAAAAAATTCCATACTTTAAATTTAAAGGATCATCCTTAATCCTATTACACGCTTTTTTTGAGAGATATATATATATATATATATATATATATATATATATATATATATATATATATATATATATAGGACACAATTAAAAAGAAAAAATGTTTTTTAAAAATTAGTATTAGGATAGACATGGGGGGGGGGAGGAAAAAAAAGAACGAACCCTTTTCTTTTTACCTTTTTTTTTTTTATTTACATTTTTCAAACTGTCAAGATAATTTGACATTCTTAACAAGAACTCAAAGTAAAATCTGATTGTCCTTGGGAGATTCCAAGAAAAAGGAAAAAAAATTCTAAAAATCATTCAATCAGTCAGGACTGTGGCATTCAACACCCAAACAGAGGAGAAACTAAAAAAAAAAAAAAAAATATTTACAACGTGGCACCAGATGACCTCATTTCATGAGTCAGCAGGGAAGGAGCGGTATAGAATTCAAAGGTATTCCTAAATAAAATTAAAGTGATTCTTTCAGTTGTGCTTATAGATATAATGCTTGAAATTGTTGAAGTCTTCATTCTAATAATAAAAAAAAAAAAAAATAAAAGGAGTAATAAAGTCTAGCATTTAAGAGTAAGAGTGGAAAGGCAATGGAGAGGGTGGAGGTACACTACCAGTTTCTAAGTCATAGGGAGACTGGTTCATGCAATTGAATAAAAAAGGGATTAGTAAGGATGACCCCCCCCTAAAAAAAAATGGTCCCTTTACAGATACTGACAACTGTTAGCAAAAATAATCACAGCAGTTGACACACCTTATTATTGGACAGTAAAAATATCAACAGCAGCAAAGAAACTATTCAAGCCATAAAACAGCTTTAGCATAGGTTAAAATTACTTCACATTCCAATTAAATCTTTAAAGCAAATTTACCATTTTGGCAAAGGAGTCCTCAGATCAACCTGTGAACAGTTGTGTGGCATTCAAAAGTATAAAGTCTTCAGTTAATACAAAATTAAACACTGCGCACACTGGAATATTTTACAAAGGTTTGAGTTAGAGCAAAGTGAACCTGAACCATTTATATAGATGCTATATAAGTACAATTGGTTTTAAAAGAAAAGGTTCAATCAAATTACAATGTTAGAATAAGGGAAGAGGTCAAACTCTAAACCAAGAAAGGGAGTCCAAGTTCCAAAATGATAAACTAGTTTGCAGATAGTTATTTAGTTTGACAATACAGCATATTTGGAGGGGGTGTCTAACTAGCACACTGAATGCTCATAAA